GTTTATGGGGATCACAGGTTGCATTACATACATCGGTATTCTCGACCATAAACCACTTGTAGATGTTGAACTCGGTCTTTTGAGAGGGTCCTTGTTCAGGTTGTGTGTAGAATGCCTTCGTGATTGGACGGATAAGTTTACCAATATTTTTGTCAATAACGTGTTTCAAACTTTTACTATCCGGGTCCCACCAGAAAACCCCATGAGGATCTGCACAGAGAATGAAATAACTGCAAAGATACCTCTTGGCTTGATCGAGATCATTCATACTCTTTGCAGCGACAATAAACCGTTTAAGCTCATTGATACTGAAGGCTTTCGTTTGTTCACCGAACTTGGGGATAACTTGAGCTTGAGTGGTCATTTTTTGTTCTATCAAATCGAGTACTAATTTATAGTTACCTAATCTTCAATTGCCTAATATATTTTTTCCAAAGATCCGCGCTCCTACCCGGTTACCCTCCTGTGGTTCTACAGTCCTTCTAGGGGTTATTAACCTATCTCTTTACTCGATTTGCTATCTCACTGCCTCCAATAAGAAAACGAACGGAATCCTGAATCAGTTTCAGATGTTTCAGAAGTTTCGGATCTGGGGGGGTAAAATCAAAACTTTTTCTGGGAGGGTTGTCCTCGCCTGACTTTTACCAAAATTGCCGAAACATCTGAAACATCGAAACACCCTCTCTGATTCTCTCTTATTTTCCTCTCTTTTCCCTTATTTTATCCTTTTTTGCTTATATTGTTATGTTTCAGATCTTGTTTCATATTGTTTCAGATGTATAGGTATTCCCCGCCTCACGGAGGAGGGATGTAAGTACTGCGAGGCCGTGAGGCCGAGGTGGCGGAATGCAGTGACGACACTACCAGCCCGACGACAATGTAATGTGTCTCCAGCAAATTAAAATGTAACACGATGCTAACGAATTTGTTATATAAATGTAATGTGTCAATTGAAAAAATTTCACTAAATGTAATGATATAATGTGAAAAAAAAAATTCCACTAAATGTAATGATATAATGTGAAAAAAAAATACATAAATATTCATAATATATTATTCCCTCACTCTCCTTTCTTCCAATTTCTCTCTTCATTTACGAACAAGTAAATATTAAAAATATAAATTTTAATATTAAAATATGAATAATTAACAATTATTTTTTCCAATAGGATGTCACAATTCAAAAAAGAATTAAGCAAAAAAACTGTTCAAAAAAAAGATCGTACACAAACTAATACACTTTGTTCATATGAACGCAGTGATATTCAAGGAACTTACTCGACTATTTCAACTAATTTTGGTTTACAACATATCGCTCTCCAACCTGCACCGCAATTTCCATTTGGATTGTATGGGGGTCATTTGCGCCCGCACCACTATTACAAACACCATATTATTATCCTATATATGGACAGGTTCCTCCTCAAACGAATTTGACTAATTTGAGTGCAACTCCCACAAAAAGTTAGTGATATTCATTATTTAATATTGTTATTAAGGTGTTTTTAGTTTACATTAATCAGCAAATTGTAATAATGTAGAAATATTGAAACGAAAATGTTCTGATAGTATGCGCAACGTGACAAAACAAAAAAAAGTTGAAGTAATTGAAGTTGAAGATGACATTGATAACGAAGAAGTTTCTGATTTACCTTGTAAGTAAAGTAAACAACAAGTTAAATTACTTTTTATAAATATAATTATTTTAAATAACTCTTATTTTATATTAGCAATTGATTTCTTGTTGCATTGTTTGGATTTACATGTTGCAAAAGATCCAACTGTTAGGGAAATAATCGCAGGTCATTTTTTCGTAGTTCTACAGGAACTAGAAGCATTCGTTGAGATTTATAATGATGATGAATTAAGTGACTTAGAAATAGCTTCTTTGTAAGTTCAGCCATTGTTATTTAACAAAATATCTTTTATAATTAATAAATCATCAAATTAATTTTTTTTTTTACAATTAGAATGGAATTAATTTCTCGTACAAAACCTTTGTAAGTTATATTAATATTTAATTTTATCTAAATTAATTACTAATTAATGTCTTGAATAATTATATAGTAATGATGAAGAAAAAGTGCTACAAGTAGCTGGCTACAGGCTGCCACCAATTTTTTTTACCTCTGCAAATAAATTTCCCTATAGTGAACGAACATTGGCCATTCCACCAGATGTTCTATACTGTCAAAGTAATGATAAATACTATACTCAAGATGAAATTGCAGAATATTTGAAGAATTCCGATCATGTAAGTTGTGATAAATCTTTATTTATTATCCACTAATTATTATTTATTAATTATTTCTTAATTTTTAGAATTATGATTGGATTATTAATGAGTTAATAAATAAATTGCACGCTCTCTATATCAGAGTGCGTAATTTGGACAATAATAAAGCCATGCTACAAGATTTTGTAAAAATTATGCTGCCCTCAATTGCGGAATATATTCACATAATTGATAAACTTGTAGTGCATGTTAGAAAATTGTTTATTGATTGGAGAAATAAGCTTTGGATCACTCTCCTTAACAAATATAAAGAATTGGGTAATAGGTTGGTATTATTTTATGTATTTATTTGTTATTATATTCAAATTTTTACTTGATAATTAATTGATTTTGATTTATTTTATAGTTATAATAAGTCATTAAGAAAATTATCAGCTATTCAAATTGCTAATATGATGAGCGTGGAAGATATAAGGAAAATCTGGAAACAATGGTGTTGTAATATTGATGAAGCAGCTTTGGAAGCTGCTATGGAATCATTGCGTGATGTTTGTGCTATGGGATTTAGAGCTATCGACGTTGAGGAGAGCTTGAATAAAGCTCATGATAGATTTTTATGTCTTTATAACGATTTATTTACTGTTAATTTGTCTATTACTACCCGTTATAATATAGCAACTTCAATGGATCTATTAGTCTATTATTTTGAAGAATTTAAACGCAAAAGTTCAAAAAAGAATTCATTATTTTAACATTAATATTATATGCAGTTAATTATTTTCTAAGAATCAGCAGTAGCATAATATTAATTATTTTGAAAATGTAGATATGTAGTATATAGTCTGTCTCTTATACACATCTAGATGTGTATAAGAGACAGGATATGTAGTATATAGTTTAATCATAGCTTATATACATTTTTTTGCATTTTTGTTTCAGTTATATTTTGCTATTGAAAAGTTATATGTAAAGTTTATGCAAAGTCTAAATATATGTGGATTGTGTTGATTGGAAAAGTTTAAAAATAGGTTTTTTTATTTAAAATTGAGACGCGTCCAATATATAAAGGTTACGATAAGTTTACGCCAGACAATTTTTCTTTCTCAACTCGATCACTACCAAAAAAATTCTTAAATTATTTTATTAAAAAATGTTACCAAAAAATCCCAAGAATAAACCTAAACCTTCACGAGTTTCCAATGGAAATAAAAAAAAATGAGGTATGTGCTCAACTTTATCTTAGTCGGGTGGCAGTAGTATATTATATTAACATCAGTCAACGAATATTTTATAAAGGACGACCTCTAGGCAGTAAAAATACAATTACCGTTTCAGAAGTATCTACTTCTATTTGAAAAGCTAGTTCTTCAGTTAATGAAAAGAAAAACAATAAGAAAAAAGTAACATCTAGAAATACGTACGAAGTTTCTAGAAAAATGCCTGAAATTCCTGCATTTACGCTTCAGGTTCCTAGAAGTATGCTTGAAGAATCAGCTGTTAACGATAAAGATGATGATGATGACAATGAAGACAGAGACGATGAAGATGTAGATGATGAAGTAGGTGATTTTGAAAGTGAAGACAGAGATGTAGATGATTTCTTGCAAGGTAACAAAAAACAATTCAAATTTATTTAGTAATATGATTACAATAATTAAAAAGGCATATTTCTTTAAGCTTTGTCAAACATAGGAAATCAAACAAATGAACTGAACATGAGGGAACAAGTAAATGAATCAAATACAATAACTAATATCGATTCATTGAACAATTTGCCAGAAGTGGCAAATAAAACAAATGTAACAACACAATTAGATGGATTGAATGCCTTAGATATTTGTAACTGGCTAGTTCGTCATCCATATATACTTGATCTCGCCAACAAAATGTTATCTGCAAAAACATCTCATGATGAAACGAACGTGAATAATAGCAGCAGTAGTTTCTCATCCTCCAATGAAGTCAGTATAATTTTATTTCTAAAATTTTATTTCTAACAAGTATATTATTTACAATAAATACTGTAATGAATTATTTGTTTGCTTAAAATACAGAACAAATCACTACTTTGGGATGAAGAACTAAAGTGTTTATTCCTTCTTCAGCGTGACCCTTCCGGTGCTATCTTGGATAGCTTTATTAGATTAGTCTGTGGGTACAAACCATATACTGAAGAAGCAAAATCTATTATGCGAGTCTCTCGCAAAAGATTGGGAGATTATAGGAACAAACTCAATACAAGTATAGCTAAATTAGTTCAGGAGTTTAAAGAATTAAAACAAATAGAACAGCAACGCGTACCTGCATTACCTTCTCAAAGTTCTATCTATTAATATATTGATGAAGCAGTAGTCTCAAAAAAAATATTGCAACGTTATATTGCATCAACAAATGAAGCTGAACTTAAACGTAATGGATCATTTATTAAACTTGTTCAATTTATTCGTGAATGCTTCAAGATTCATTATAGGAATAAGGATGTCAAAAAAGTAAAGGAATTAGATGCTTTAACTAAAGATTTATTTATACCATCACGTAGTGGATGCAATTTGGCTAGTTCTTTAGTACTTGAATAAATTAATTAACTGTAAATAATTTTATTAATTTTATGTATTAAAAATCTCTTTTATTTTTCATATTTAGTAAAGTCTAATAAAGTTTAATACTTTTTACAATAAAGTCGCGTTTATTTTTCACACTTAATAAAGTTTAATAAAGTTTAATACTTTTAATATAAAATCTCATTTTTTTTTTACAAATTTAAGAACTTGCACTTATTTTTCACACATCTAAAGTCCTTAATTTTTATGTCTCATTCTCAAGTTTAAATTCTTTAATATGTCTAAAAGAAAGTGCAATACATACCAATTAAACAATCCTTTGAGACTTCGCCATAGATATTCACATATTCCTTTACAGAATAGAAATGAAAATTTTACTAATGATTTATCTCGCAATAATACTATAATAAATATTTTACCACCACAAAGTTATATCACTCATAAAAGTAACACTTCAAACGAAATTATTGAACAAGATGATGATAATGAAGTAAACCTAGATAACACAGGAGACTAATATGATAATATGACAGAAAGCGATGAAGGTAGTTATGATAGCACTGATAGTGGTTATGATAATACAACAGAAGACGATGAAAATTATAATAACACAGATGATGAATATATTGGCGATTACGAACATAGAGAAAACACCTATGATGATACAGAAGAACAAGCTAATATTAAACAGAATGAGAATGATAAACAAATTGTTGACGAAGCTTTGGATCCTTCAATCCTTCCGCATGAATTTTCTGATTTTTTACCTTATTTTAATAATGCAACTGAAGCTTTATTATTTTGTTGGATACAAAAGCATAATATATGTAAGTATATATATATATATTTAATAATAATGAAACTTATATAAAGTCTTATTAGTTATTTATTTATTTATTAGCAACTAATGCATATGATGATCTTGTAAGTATTATTAATGATCCACGGTTTAAAAGAGAGGAAGTGGTAACAAATATACGACGATTTCGGCAGTGGAAGCAACGATTACCACTCTCAATAATATTTGCAAGGCCAGTATCAATCTCTTCAAAGAAATCACCATCAACTTCTAAAGCTTGCAAATTAGCATACCATCTGTCAATAAGCGATATCATATGGTACGTTTTAAATAATCCAGCAATTATGAAACATATGTATTTTGGACCAGGAATTGACATCGGTAAAAAGTCGGAATTTTGGCATGGATCTCTATGGGCAGAATCTCCACTTTTTGGACAAGAAGATATTATCATTTTGCAAGGTATGATAGATAAAATCATTAACAAAATTAATCATTATCATATTTAATTAACTATTTATTAGTGAAATATCGTACTGGAAGTTTTATATATTATCAGTCAAGTATTCAGAAGTTAGGATTTCTTAGATCAATACAACGCGATGAAGAAAATAAAATAATACTCAAAATCCAACAGCTTGTTTTTTATGAAGAATTACCTGGTATCTTTAAGGGAATTAGCAGACAGCAAAGAGCAAATTCTGGTGATTTATTGATGCTTGATGAAAATTTTATAACCATTAATCCTTCATCAGTTCTTAGAAAGGCAACAGTTAAATTACCATATTTGAACCAATCTCTTACACCTGGTGAACTTAATGTAAAAGAAATTATTTACAAATATAAAAACCACTGGCGAATTAGAGATATAAATATGTCCTACTTACACCCTGCACATTATATTTCAACAAATAATTCACCAACTTCCTCCTTACCCGTATACAAATTATTTTTGGATATGTATTATGACAATTTTGGTACATATCGTAACGTCTACCATTCATTAGGTGGCGTATATATTCAATTTGGGAATATGCCTGCTAACCTTCGTAAATTGGTTAAGAATCATTTTGTAATCAGTTTTGTGCCATTTGGTGGCAGCTTTGGCGAATTTATACTTCCATTTGTTAAAGAACTCAAGGAATTTGAAAAGGGTAAGGTAATGAGTGTGCAAGGACAGGAAGCGTGGGTTGTTGCGGGTTTAGGAGTAGTGACTGCTAATTTGCCGCAAGGCAATGATTTAGCAGGAGTATTAAGACATGGAGCGAATAAAGGATGTTGTACGTGTTCTATCAACAAGGATTTAGCTTTGCTGTCTCGATACAAGCAAATAACAGATTTGGAATCTGTTCAAATTAACAATGAATTTACAATGTCCAGGAAGAAGCAGATGAGCCCTGAATATGGATTACGAATCAAGCAAAGTATTTTGGATGAATTAAAACGTGAAAAACACCTTCAAACTCCTCAGGATATTTACCATACAACTGCTGGTAAAATTGGGAGACTTGTAAAGATTACAGTAAGTTTGTTATCACAAGAAGGAGTGACAGCTTTTCTGGAAACGTGGAAGAATTTTGAGAAACCTTCTGTATGGTGTCGTTTACCTAATCTTATCAGTCATCATGAAAGTTTCATGATGTCTGATTATCTGCTTTTTGCGATGATTATGCCATTTATTCTTCATCGCTTTTTGAAGCCTTTACATTTAAAAAGCAATGAATTGAAAATTATACAGCAATGAATAGGTGCTCAACGAAGAGATTATGTGCCTAAAGCTATCATAAAATGTTGGGTTTATGTAGCAAAAATGATGAAATTAGTTTTTGAAAGGGATTATACAGAAGAAAAATATGATGAATTAAAGCGATGTCTTGAAGCTGAAATGGCTATTTTGACAAAGGTAATCATTGCATAAACCAATCAGAATGCTCTATTTGTGCAACAAATAATGGTTTGAACAGTTTTCATTGTCTTGTATGTTATTATTAATGATTTACTAACAAATAAATTATTATAGGTTTTTGAAGAATTTGTCAATCTACCTAATCTTCACATTAATTTTCATCTTTGCCTCCATGCTCGCACATACGCAACATTAAGAAATACTCAAGTAGGAATAAAAGAAACAGTACACAAGATATTTAAATCAATGGTACCAAATACCAATTGCAAAGAAGTAGATTTGGATCTATTGAAACGTTATAATACAAGTTTTGCAATTCGGCATCTCACAGATGGTGGAATAGATAAAAGATTTTCACGATCTCATGATGGATACACTGGATTAAAAAAGAGTGCCTGTGAAAAGTTATTCAACAATTGGTTTGTTACCGAAGATAGACTATTTGATGAAACAGACTATACCGATGAGGCAACGGGTAAAATATAATTTTACTATTATTGTTTAGTTATATAATCTTTAAAAAATTTTTCCTTTTAGTTCAATTATCAATGGGCAACTTTTATAACATTCACTTAAAGAAAAGAATTTCTTTGAAGAATATCAAAGAATTCGTCAAGTTTTTTCCATCAGATAGTCATTTTAAAACCGAATTAATTTTTATACGAAAGATATATTAATATATATATATTTAATATTTTTTTTTTTTTAAAAGAAAAATTTATATTTAATTTTATTATAATATTTAAAAAATTACTGTTGATCCTGTCGCCGATTAAACAGTTATTGGTGAATGAAATAATTGTGCGTCCATAATCTTTTCGTACTAGGATAAAAATAATAAAATTTATCTACCTCCATATTTTAGTTTTTAAGAAATTTTTATTTAATGAATAAATTCATATACAGTAGTAATTATAAATAAATGGATAAATATAAGTATGTAAATGCAAATAATTGGATAAAATATATATAAGTTTAAAAATATAAACTATTTAACGCTACGCCTAATTTTTTAAGATATGCTAGCGTTGGAAAATTAAATGAAAGAAAAAAATTTCCTTGAAAATATGCAAAATTCACCGTAACAAAATATTAAAGAATATTTTGGTCTTTGTTTTTGCTATTTTGATCTAAAAGAAAAAAAAATGCAGTATATTATTAAGTACAAATAAAAAAGGCGGTTATTATAAAGTTAAAAATTTACCATCTTCGTCAATGTTCAATTGAGAAATATCAATTTGTAAAGATATAGACGCTATTAATAAATAAAACATTATTAGTATTGGTTAATTTGTATACTTCCTTCTTTATTAATTCAATACCTGAGGATTCCAAATTATTTATATGTTTATAATGATCATCAGAATTTTTTGTTTCGGGAAGATTTGGTCGAGAAATATCAATTTGAAGGGATTCTAATTATTAAAAAAATTCAGTATTTATTATAATTAATTTGAATATTCTTTTATTAATCAATACCTGGAAATTCCGTACTAATTATATCATCATAATGGATATTAGAATTTTTTGGTTCATGAAGATTATTATCGTTAATTTTCAGTCGAGGAATATCAATTTGTAAAGACACTATTTAACAAATAAAGATATATTAGTATATTTTACAGTTAATTCAATCATTCTTTTATTAGTCAATACCTGAAGATTTCATGCTAATTATATCATCATTTTGTTCATCATAATAATCGTCACAATTTTTTGATTTTGGAAGATTATAAAAATTGAGTAATCTACTTGTGTAAACAGCTCCTGAATGTGTTTTATATGATAATTTTAAACCGGTCGAAGGTATATCATTAGTTTGTAAATTATTATTAAATTCATTTGCTTCTTTAATTTGTTTATATAATTCTGTATTATGATATTTTGCTTCTATATTCCATTTATATAAAATTTCTTTAATTTCTTTTGCTGTTGGTCGCTTTAATGGGCTTGCATCTAAACATCTTTTAATTAAACGCACAATTAATTGGGGTACTTTAATATCATTGAACCTTGGTCTGAGTCCTTGACAAATCTTCATTGCTAAATATTCATCATGGCTTAAATTATAGTATGGAGGTAATCCAGAAATAAATTCATACATGATTATACCAAGACTATATATATCAGCAATATCGGTATAATTATGCTCTTGTAGGATTTCAGGAGCTATATAAGGTAAAATACCATATACACTATTTTTTGTATTTCCTGCTATATTGCAATCTGTAGGTTTGCATAACCCCATGTCAGCTATTCTAGCTAGATGAAATATTAATATATTGCCACTATGTAAATCTCGATGAATTAATCCATTTTTATGAATATCTGCAAGTCCGCTTGCAATACCATATAAATAATTAATCTTATCAGTCAAACTTAATTTATCATTTGTAACTAAATAATGTCGTAAACTTCCACTTTTTGCATAATCCAAAACCATAATATAATTATTTGTCACTGGATCTTGAGATAATCCATAAAGTTTGATAATATAATTCCCCAAATTTACTTTAAGATGTGATGCAATCTAAAATTAAAATAAATATATTAGGAAAAATCAAATATCTCAAAATTTCATTATGTAACAAAATAATTTCACCTCATTAATAAATTCCAACGTAACATTTTTTGAATCATTTAAGATTTTCAGAGCCACAAACATGTTTTTATTTTTTCTTTTCCAATTTTGATTTTCATCATCCCATTCATCTATGCATCCGTCAATCCAATTTGCTACATAGACACTGCCAAATCCACCTTTTGCAATATATTTAATATTATAAAATCTATCATATGGTATCCATTCTAATGCATGGTATGTATGATAACTATGATCTGATAGCTGAGAATCTTTAATTAATTTGTCGATATTATTATTACCACTAGTCCAATTTTCAATATCTCGTTGAAAATGAACCACATTACATGCACGTTTACATTTTTCACATGCATCATCTAAAACCACCATATAGTATTTTGTTTCTGGATCTTGAGTAATTCCATAGAATTTATGGTGTGCCATAATCTACAAATATAATTAATTAATAAAATTACACTTCGTTAAAATTCCTAAAATTCCATTAAATAATTTATTATTATACCTCATTAAATTCCAATGTAACATTCTTTAAATTATTTAAACTTTTCAGAATTACAAATTTATTTTGATCCCTTCTCCAATTTTGATTATAGCTATCCCAGTTGTCAATACATCCATCAATCCAATTTGCCCTAAATACTTTGCAAAACTTGTCTTTTACAATACATGTAATACCATAAAATCTATCACAAGGTATCCATTCTAATGCATTACAAGTATAATAACTATGATCTGACAACTGAGAATCTTGAATTAATTTATCAATATCACTATTACCACTAGTCCAATTTTCAGAATTTCTTTGAAAATAAATCACATTACATGCACGTTTACATTTTTCACACACATCATCTAAAACCATCATATAATATTTTGTTTTTGGATCTTGAGTAATTCCATAAAATTTGTGGTTTGCTGTAATCTACGATATAATTGATTAGTAAAAGTCATATTTCTTTAAAGTTCAACAAAATAATTTTTATACCTCATCAAATTCTAATGTGATAATATTTGAAATATTTAAACTTTTCAGAATTACAAATGTATTTTGATCTTTTCTTCTCCAATTTTGATTATAGATATTCCAGTTATCTATACATCCATCAATCCAATTTGCTCTATGCACTTTGTAGGACTCACCTTTTGCAATATTTTTAATATTATAAAATCTACCATAAGGTATCCATTCTAATGCATGAGACGTAGAATCATTATGATCTGACATCTGAGAATCTTGAATTAATTTATTAATATCATTATTACCACTAGTCCAATTTTCAAAATTTCTTTGAAAATGTATCACATTACATGCATGATTACATTTTTCACAAACATCATCTAAAACCATCATATAGTATTTTGTTTCTGGATCTTGAGTAATTCCAAAAAGTTTATGGTTTGCTATAATCTACAATGTAATGAATTAGTAAAAGTATATTTCTTTAAAATTCAGCAAAATAATTATTATACCTCATTAAATTCTAATGTGATAATATTTGAAATATTTAAACTTTTTAGAATTACAAATGTATTTTGATCTTTTCTTCTCCAATTTTGATTATAGATATTCCAGTTATCTATACATCCATCAATCCAATTTGCTCTATGCACTTTGTAGGACTCACCTTTTGCAATATTTTTAATATTATAAAATCTATCATAAGGTATCCATTCTAATGCGTGAGATATAGAATCATTATGATCTGAGATCTGAGAATCTTGAATGAACTTATCAATATAATTATTGCCACTTGTCCAACTTTTGAAATTTTGCAAAAAATACATTGCATTACATATATCTTTACATTCTTTGCATATTTCGTTCCAAACCACCATATAATTTTCTGTTTCTGGATCTTGAGTTATTCCATAAACTTCATGATATATTGCGATCTATAATTATAATATATTAACATAATACAAAATAAAATTTAAAGTCTCAATAATTTAATAAGTTCATACCTCATTAAATTCTAATAAAATATTATTTGAAATATTTAAACTTTTCAGAATCACAAACATATTTTGATCTGTTCTTCTCCATTCTAGAGTATAACTATCCCAGTTATCTATATATCCATCAATCCAATTTGCTTTACACACTTCATCAAACCCACTTTTTGCAAAATATTTTATATTATAAAATCTATCATAAGGTATCCATTCCAATGCATTTCTTATTTCATGATTTGTATGTGCCAATAGTTGAGAATTTTGAATTAATTTATCAATATTATTATTACCACTAGTCCAATTTTTAAAATCCAGTTGAAAATGTATCACATTGCATACATCATTACATGTTTCACATATGTTACATATGTTATATAAAATCACCATATAAGTTTCTGTTTCTGGATTTTGAGTTATTCCATAAAATTTATGGCTTGCTGTAATCTATAAATAAGTTAGTAACGTTATACTTTATTAAAATTTCATAAAATATCTTGTTATATTATACCTTATTAAATTCCAGTGTAACATTTTTTGAATCACTTAAACTTTTCAGAATTACAAATTTATTTTGATTTTTTCTTCTCCAATTATTATTAGTTTTATCCCATTTATCTATACATCCATCAATCCAATTTGCTCCATATATTTTGCAAAATTTGTCTTTTGAAATACATTTAACATTATAAAGTCTGTCATAAGGTATCCATTCTAACACATCCTTTATATTTTTATGAGTTGACAGTTGAGTATCTCGAATTAATTTATCAATATCAGTATTACCACTAGTCCAATTTTCAAAATCCCGTTTAAAATATATCACATTACATATATTATTACATTCCTTACATTTTTTTTCATTAACATATAATGTCTTAGTTAATTTCTTGACAAAAGTATTCATTGAGACTAAAATATAGAATAATAATTAAAGAGTGACTGAAAACAATGTTTTATTCCTTAATATTGTCGTACCTGTTTCACAAATAATGTGGTGGGTTTTACGACAGATCACTTGAATTTGATGATCGGCATGAACATTTCCTTTTGAATATTTGCGTAACATCTCGTGACGACGTATCCAGACTGGCACTAATCCTTTCAGGCATAATGTCGCCCGGCTTTATCCAGAAAGGTAACGCGAATTCATTAAATTTGTTAAAAATGATAATTCAGAATCGGATTATTTATGATATAAACCTTGCTTGGTAGTATTAAGAATTATTTGAGAACTGGTATAGAATTTGTATCATAGGATGAAATCGATGATTTATATTAGAAGAATCATTTTTTTTTTAGAAAAAAAAGACAATATTTGAAAGAAAAGTCAATATATATTGGATGTAAATATATTTTATTTATTTTATTTTATATTCTGAAGGTTACATATTCGAATTTACAAAAAAGTAAGTTACATATCAAAGTTAAAATAATAACTTTGTCAAAGTAACCTATATAAGTTAATAGTTGACCTATCTTTCGTAGACTTTAACGGACCTGAAAAATTTATCGCGACAATTGTGGTATGAGTGTCAGGATTTTGAACTTTTAGGAATATGATTGTGAGCGTCGGGCTTGTTGTTACAACGGGATTCTGATTTGAATAGCTTCCGCAGTGATAACATTATCCCGAAATGTGGAAACGGCTGAAAAAAAAAATGTGACTAATAATAATAAAAACTTAACCTTTTCCGTTAGCATCACAAAAAAAATCCTATCATAGCCGGAATTGGATTACACAAAATTTTTGCGGATTGACTATCGGAACGTGCACAATACAATCAAACTATTCTAACCATAACAAACACGGAATAGATCACATCCTGGGTTTCCGCATGTTACACAATTCAAATTATATTATACAACGCCTAATCTAAATATCACCAAATTTTTTTCGTTATTTATATAAGGGAAAGTTTTTTTTTTAAAAAGGAATAATTTTGCTTTTCATTATAACCTAACAAATAATTTCATTTTTATATAATTTATTATCCTTCCTTAATAAATTATTGTGTGAGATAATTTTATATTATTTATTTGTTTTTGCATTTAATTTGCTTTTGGTTGCTTTCTCGTGTTTTTGGTATTTTTTTTTTATAATTGATCGAAAAATCATCTAATACACTAATTTGAGACCGGTAATAATATTAATTATTTGGACTTTTTAATTTGAAGAAAAGAATTAAGAGTAATTAAATTTATTTCTTAAAACTACTGATCACAAGAATTTGATTCTTTAAATTCATGGAGCCTATCGAGCCGTATGAAATTCAACACTTCGGAAAATAAAAAAGTCTAGTTTATTACAAAGGCTCAGTAACCTCAGTTTAATAAATATACTATAACTATGGAGGGTTTAATGTATCAAAATAATAATTTAAAAGTTACACAATTAGTGCATAATCACATTGATGTGTTTGTAAAGCAAGACTCTGATGGGAACAACCACATTTTGTTGCTGTGGAAGTTGATTTTTTCACGTTCTTTTTAAATAAGCGTGCGTAAATTAAATTGCTAAACGAGTTAAATTATGTTATAAATTATTGTGGCCATCTCATTTTTGGTAAAGTAAACTTCATTTATTATACAGAATAATAAGCACGGCAGGTTTATACTATTACTACTGTAATACGTCTGATTAAAGCGAGATGAACTAATAACATATTAACAAATCCGGATTTAACTCATACATCATGGAAAAAGAATTTTAATGCACTAAATGATTTATAATAAAAATTTTTTAATAAATTATTATGAGAAATTATGTATGTTATTATATATCATTCAAATGTATAACAGATAATAAATTTGTAGAATTAATTTGTTTAGGACCTCTAAAATCAGAAATACTAAATTATCAAATAAACTTTCTAAATTGTCTGGATATCCGGATTAAC